ATTCATTGCAACAGAATGAAACACTGCTCAGTCCTGTGCCATCCTCACAATTATTGTTATATTTGAGGTCATTGTTGCAGCCACTGTGTTACTCCATCTCCTCTGTCACCAACACCATGATTCAAATGCATCTAATTTTGGGGGGTTTCCTTTTTCAGTGTCCAACTTTCACATGCTATGAGGTGATTGAAAATACCATGGTTTGGGTCAGGTGCATCTTAATCCTCAAAGTAACATCCTTGCCCTTCCTTCCTTCCTTCCTTCCTTCCTTCCTTCCTTCCTTCCTTCCTTCCTTCCTTCCTTCCATTGAATACTTTAAGGGCTCTTACATCTCATCGCAATCCATACATTCATCCAGTGTGTCAAGCACATTTGCACATATGCTGCCATCATTTTCAAAGCATTTTTTCTACTTGAGCCCTTGATATTAGCTCATTTTCCCCCTCCCTCCCTGCCTTCCCTCCCTAATGAACCCTTGATAAGTTATAGATTATTATTTTCATATCTTACATCATCTTCTGTCACCCTTCACCCACTTTTCTGTTGTTTATACCCCTGGGAGGGGGTTATATGTCAATCCTGTGATCGATTCCCCCTATCTTCCCCCCACCTTCCCCTTATCCTTCTGGTATCTCTATTCTCATTGTTGGTCTTGAGGGGTTTATCTATCCTAGATTCCCCGTGTTTCCAACTCTTATATATATCTGTGTACATGCTCTGGTCTAGTCCAATTTGTAAGGTTTAATTGAGGTCATGATAATGGGGGGTGGAGCATTAAAGAACTAGAGTAAAGTTGTATGTTTCATCAGTGCTGTACTACACCCTGACTGGCTCGTCCGTCTCTTCCTTGTGACCCTTCTGTAAGATGTCCAATTGTGTACAGATGGGCTTTGGGTCTCCACTCCATGCCCCACCCATCCACCCCATTCACATTGGTATGATTTTGTTTTGGGTCTTTTTGATGCCTGATACCTGATCCCGTTGACACCTCATGATTACACAGGCTGGTGTGTTTCTTCCATGTGGGTTTTGTTGCTTCTCCACTATATATCCACTTGTTTACCTTCAAGCCTTTAAGACTCCACATCCTTGCTTTTCAACAGTCTGAAAAGTTCTTCTGCAGCAGAATTACCTAATGTAGTACATCATTTGATCTCTTGACTGATACCCCCATGAGCATTGATTGTGGATCTAAGCAAGGTGCAATCCTTGACAACTGAAATCTTTTCTGCAATCAGAAAATAGATCTCTTAATTAATGTATAGTACAATAAGTTTGTTTGCTTATTATTTGATTTTATTAACTAAACATGGCTATAGTTTATTGCTATTGCTAGGTATTATCAAGTTATTTTTCACTCAGTGACTCCATGTGACAGAGTACTCCGTGTGACTAGATTAATTAATAATTTTTCTGAGAACAGATCATCTGGGTCTTTCATGAACATCAGAATGGAATTGAACCACGGTGTCTCTTGGTTAGCAACTGATCGTCTGACCATTGCACTACCAGGACTGCTTTTATAAACTCTAATTTTAAATTTTAAAGAAACTTTAAAAGGTTATCGTGTATGAACACAACTTGGGAGAGGGTAATCACTTTGTAAATTCAGCAAAAAAGTCACTTTTGTTAAGATGATCTCAACTAATAGTAACCAGAGAGGACAGAGTAGATAGGATTTCCATGACTGTAAATCTTAGCAGAAACAGACTGCCATATCTTTTTCCTCTGGAACAGCAGGTGAGTTCAAACACCCACCTTTTGTTTAGTAGCAGAGCACTTTAACCACGTCCCCGTCTGAGATCTAGTAATTAAAGCCATTGACACCGAGTCAATTCTGGCTTATTTCAACCCTATAGAATAAATCTAGCAGTACAAAAACATCTTTATTTCATAGTCAGAGGAAATATACAATAAGAAAAGTCACAAGGTGATAATGACAATAGTGATAAAGTAATGAAAAGGTAACAGAATAAAGCATAAGAAAATTATATTAATTCATCCAAGATAGATCATTTAATAAAGGGGTTGTAATTACAGCATTTTCATTTCATTTGTTTAATAACATTAGAAGCTATCTTATAGAAGATGTCCTGATTTTCTTTTGGTTTACTCTTCTATTATCTAAGGAAGGAAATAGCTTGATATATTATAGAAATGGTAACATTTTATTAGTAATTGTTCCATTAGAGTATAGAATTGAATTTTTATCGTCTGAAACAGGTTCTCAAACTTACGTGGGCTCGCACCCCCTTTTCAGAAAAAAATCCTCAGTGCCTCCCGTGCACTGAGAAACTTTTGTATAACCTAGGATAAAATGTAGGTATCAGCTACATTTTGCAGCCCACCTGGATCATTCCAGCATCCCCCAAAGGATGGTATCACCCAATTTGGAAACCACTGGTCCATATGAAATTTTTATAGTTTTCTTTCAAATGTAACAAGTAAAATCTCTGACTTTATATGTATTTTGTTTTTAATTATGAACTAACGACCTTCATAACACTAAAATTCCATTTATATCTTGAAGAATAAACAGTAATTTACTAAGTAGTTAAGAAAAATAATACAGTTCAGGTGGGCGGTAATAGTTAGCACTGAAACATGGTGCTTTGGGGCACCTGTGTAAAAATCTGGATATTTTAAACAGTAGACAGTGGTAGAGGAGAAAGACTAGAGATAAGGTTTAAAAGCGCATTGACACCAAATCATAAAAGACTTTGTCTGCTAAAGAGTTTGAGCTTTGTATTACATGTCAACAACTATTGTAATTTTTTATGTAGAAAAGGGAGATAATCAGATATTTAATACCAAAATGACCACTCTCAACCTTTTTTATGTTCTCCTCTAGGATTGGGAGATCCAATTGACTACTTGATACCTCCAGTAAGATACCTATTGTGATAATTCTTGTAAGGTGCCCTCAAGTCAGTTACAATTTATAGGACCTGTTTACAACAGAACAAAACACTGCCTGATACTGCACCCTCCTCACAGTTAATCTGTTTGAGCTTAGTGCTGCAGCCATTGTCTTCTTGAAGGTCTTCCTCTTTTTCACTGACCCTCCACTAGACGTGAGGTTATTTTCTAGAGACTGCCTCTCCTAAGAGCAAGTCCAAAGTATGTAAGACAAAGTCTTACCATCCTTGCTTCTAAGGAACATTCTGGGTGTACTTCCTTTGCAATCTATATGTTTGTTCTTCTGACAGTCCATTGTAATTCAATATTCTTCACCAGCACCATAATTTAGATGTATAATTCAATTGATCTTCCTCATTCATTGCCCAGCTTCCAAATGCATAAGAGGGGATTGAAAATACCGTGAAGTGGGTCAGGCTCACATTAGTTCTCAAAGTGATATCTTTGCTCTTAAACACTTTAAAGAGGTCTCGTACAGAAGATTTGGCCAATAAAATCTAGTGCACACTAAGAATACCAAACTTGACATTGCTGAAATTGAATTGCCATCTAAGTTTTCCAATTGATTAGGCTAATTTTTTTTTAGTCAGCCTTGCTTTCTTGTTTCCTCCTTCACCCAGGCCAACAGCAAAATTCATTGGTGTGCTTTGAAGAATCCAGTGTCCAACTATTTTACGACCTTCACTACTATTGCTTAGTTCAAGTTACCATTGTTTCCCCTCTGGATTGTTGTAGTCACTTCCAAATTGATATCTCTATTTCTGATCACCAGTTTTTGTGTTCCTCTTGAATTGATTCAGATCATCGCAGTCTTTCCAAAGCCCTCCAGTGTCTTTCTCTTCTGAGTAAAATCCATAGTCTTTACCATTCTGTAGACACCCTGTCTTTTAAATACAGAGAACAAGGACAGGCAGACTCCCACTTTCAGAGCCTATCAGCACTTCCCTCTACCCAGAATGTTCTGCCAGATAATAGCATAGCTCTCTCTCATTTCCTTTGTTTCTCTGCTGTAATGTCATCTTATCAGTCTTTTTTTTTTTACAAACCTGTATAAAATAACCCCTTTCTTACTATGCTCTGCTTTTACCCTGCTTTATTTTCCTTCTCAGAAAAAGACCAAGTAGTAAACTCACTTGCACACACAGAACACCTAATCGAGTACTGCACATATTGGAGGGCACTGAGTAGATGCGAAATAATCATTGGGTACTGTCGATTTGCTTCCAAATCATAGTGACTGTGTATGCCAGAGAAAGATCTATATGGTCCTGTGCTATCTTATATCTGAGCCCATAAAAACCACTGTTCCCATCCACCTTGTTGAGGGTCTTGCTCCTTTTCGCTGCCCTTCTAACTTCGCAGTCATGTCTTCAACCATGGTCTCTCCTGATGTCATAAGCAAAGTGCATGAAGTCAACTTTCGTCATCTTAGGAGCATTTTGACCTTGCTTCCTCCAAGACATAGTTTTTCATTCTTTCAGGAGTCAATGCTATTTTTCAGTATCCTTTGCCCAACTCTCACATGTGAGGCAATTGAAAATACCATGATTTAGATTACACATACCCGAGTCCTCAGAGTGAAATCTTGCTCTTCAGTACTTTAAAGAAGTCGTAGGCAGCAGATTTACCCAGTGCAATGCTTCCTTTGTGTCCCTTAGTGCTGCTTCCTGGAGCGTTGGTGTGACTTTTAGCAGACATACTGTGAATATATATACTGTTCTTTATTATTTAGTAAACATGTACTGAACTTTCTTACTTTATATCCAGGGTTAATCTGCCAGAGAGTAGAGATAGAAGATAAAAAATGCATTAATTTTACCTTTGAAAAGTGTACAGTTACCTGTGGTAGGCAGATTGTATTGTGTTGTACACTATTTAGATTAAACTAATTCAGGCAGAATTATAATGTTTTCCATTTTAATTTTTCCAAAGATGTTGAGCTATTCAAAAATAGGAAATATTCAACTTTTTACAAGTACCTCATGTTTTTAACAATATGGTTTCACTTTTAATTTTCAGTAAGCTTGAAATGTTTTGGACAATTTTATTTCTCAGCATAACAAGAACAATTATTTTATCAGGGGTTGACATAGAAGCAGCTCGAAAGGAAGAAGAACGGATAATGCTTAGAGATGCCAGACAGTGGTTAAACAGTGGTCACATAAATGATGTCCGACATGCCAAGTCTGGAGGCACAGCTCTTCATGTAGCAGCTGCTAAAGGCTATACAGAAGTCTTAAAGTAAGTGTTGTATTACACCAAGTCATTTTTACTTTGATTTGCTTTCATTGCTTTATTGTTCCTTTTCTTAAGATGGCTGCAAAAGATTATTTTGAAGCAACTTATAAAAGGGATACTTGATGTCCATTTTTGGGTGGGTTTAAGCATGAGTGTACACCATCTATGGTACCCAGGAATCTAGGGATATTGGCATAATATTAAACATCAAGCCATGGCAACTTGGACTGTATTGATCTGCATATATTGATATGCAAATTACATTGACAAAATTAGACCCCTAGCAAAATGTAGCACACCCTTTATATTACTTTCATTCTGCTTGAGTTTGTAGTACAAACTTGTCCTTATTATCCTTCTCATTATTTTTTTATTACAAATTAATTACAAATAATTAAGTGAGTCACCTACTCCCAAGTTTCCTACTCTTTTCTCCCTCTTACTCTCTCTTTAGTAACTTGAGAATTTAAATTATTTTCCTTGTCTTTGCTCTAAAAAGAACCCTGGTGGTATAATGGGCTATGTATTATGCTAATCACAAGGTCAGCAATTAGAAACCACAGTCACTCTGCAGGGGAAAGATAAGGCTTTCTGCTCCCATAAACAAGTTACCATTGTGCAAATCCACCAGGGAAGCTCTACCCTATCCTGGAGGGTCAGCTCAAAGTCAGAATTGACTTGCTTATGTGAAATTTGGTCCTAACTCTAATCCAGAACTTTTCAAACCCCAATAAATGGTTGTAAAATGAACTTAGTGATTTACCAAAGTGCTGCATATGGGAACATAAGTATATTTATTTAAATATTTCTTTGCATACACATGTATTTAGTTGTAAAATTGGTTTCTGAACTTCTTGCCCATGCTCACTGTAATTAGGTTATACCAGCATTTATGATCCTTCATTAAGTTCTTATTAGTTTTTAGGATAAATTTCAAACTAATTACGAAAGACTCTTCATCATCTGCCCACTATTGGCCTTTTTACGCTAAGCTGCCACCTTTGCTCCTGGGGCGTACATTATTTCAGCTGGACATATCTGCTTCAAATTCTCTCTCATAATATCTTAATTTATGCTGTTTCAGATACCCTCTCATCAAGTGACAAATTTCCTTTGATTCTTTGATTCAGTTCAGGGAACTCAAGCATATTAGAAAAATGTCCAAATTCATTTATGAAAAATGTAATAAAGCTACAAAAAAGTAAGAATATGGTTATCTGAAGGAAAGGGAAACTGGTTTGACTAAAGCTTTGTTGTGGTACAGTGATTTTCCTATATACTTTTATTGTTGTTATTTAAAAATTCATTATATATTACTTATGAAAATAAATAAAAATATATTAAAAGAACGATAACTTAAGAGCTCCAGTTCAAATGTAATTTTCTCCTCATTTATGTTCTTTCTCTCGCACGCGCACACACACGCACACGCACATCTTCAGCTTGATTTTGATGCCTTTCAGTTCTCTATTCCCATTGCATCTTACACATCTTCATCACAAAACCTTTCAGGGAGAGTAGTTTTTTAGTTGGTTTGTTTTACTCTTGTGTTCACTTAGAAGCTCCTTGAATATAAGTTCTGTGTTTGTTTGGGGGGTGTTGTTTGTTTGTTTGTTTTGAGTTATCCTTATGTTATCTGGCATAAAGACAGAGCTAGACACTTAGTGAAATAACTGAACCTATCTTTCTGACTCTCCTCTCTGTTCATGCAACTCCCAAATGCTTATAATTTTACGTTGCTCAGGATACTTAATATTATGATAATTTGTATTTCCTAATGGGAAGGTGTCTTTTGATTATCTTAAATTCAGGTATTTTTTCTGCCACTTAATAATGTTTATGGTGAATCTCAGGACTTATATCTGTTACCTTGTTCCTTAGATTACTGGCTTTGAAATGGTCTATAGGCAAATGACATGCGGATGCCATAAAAATCATATGGAACACATTAAAAATACAGCTTGTGCTATTTCATTCACTAACATTGAGATGGAGCTGGGGAAACACGTAGTTTTAACAAGCTCTTCTGATTATTTTGTTAAAAAGTCAGGAATAAGAACTGCAGCTGCGACTCTCACTCACTCACTCTCACACTCTCACTCACTCACTCTCACTC